CGCCTGCAGCTGTGAAAACACTCCTGGGCCTCCAGGCAGGGCGGGCCCAGAGCGGGCGGGCTCCGGGCCCACTAGGCCCCTGCCTGCCTGCCAATGGGGAACGTCAGGGCGGCGCGTCTCCCACCTCCCCCTGGGCTGTGACCAGCCTTGGAATGGGGAGCTTGGCACACGTGAGGTTCCTAGGGACACGTCTTTGCAGCTTTGGCGCTGCCTGTCACCTGGACGAGGAGACAATTTGGAGCCACCCCTGCTAAGTCCACTCCCTTAGTTCCGAGGATGAGCTGGGGGATGGGTGAGCACCCATGTGCTGTGGGTCCTGGTCAACGTGGTTTCCTGCCCACAGGGAAGGAGCGAAAGGGTGGCTAGACCCCTGGCGCCATGTGTCCTCTGGGCTGTGGACAGGTGTGACCCACTTTCCCCTCTGGGGAGTACCCCAGGGCCCCAAGGAGATACACAGCTCCCCATAGAGCAGTGGTTCTCAACCTTCTGGCCCTTTAAATACAGTTCCTCATGTTGTGACCCAACCATAAAATTATTTTTGTGGCTACTTCATCACTGTCATGTTGCTACTGTTATGAGTCGTAATGGTAATATCTGATATGCAGGATGGTCTTAGGCGACCCCTGTGAAAGGGTCGTTCGACCGCCAGAGGGGTCGAGACCCACAGATTGAGAACCGCTGCCCTAGAGTGTGACCCTGACTCAGCAGGTGGGGCCTGGCTCTAGGCGGCGAGGCTCAGCCTACTGTTCACAGGCAGCCATGGGGGTCGGGGTGGGGGGACGGGGGTGGAGCACGGGTGCAGGAGGTTAGAGAGCGAGGTTCCCAGGGCCTGTGTGGCCTTCCAAACGGGGCAGAGGGACCAGGTGTGTGTTTGGGGGGGGGCGGGGAGGGAGGTGGCAGAGGTGCATCCAACAACGACTGGTTTGTGTACAAGCCTGGGCCTTGCTGGGCCACACAAACTGGTCAGAGCTGGTTTTGCCTGGACAGAGGGCTCTGGGTGGACAGGTCAGGGGTGAGGGGCCACTTCCTGACGCCACATGGGGTGCACTCCCAGCAAGGAGGCCGGACAGCCGGTCCCTTCACCCTGCCTGGTGCTGGGCAAGGGGTGCCCAGTCCCAGCCATGGCCTCCTGGTCTCAGCCCCTCCCGGGCCTCCCCCGCCTGGTCCCTGGTCCGGGGCAGCAGTCATCGGGGCAGTGGTCATCGGGGCAGGAGCCAGGTCTGCAGATGGCCGGGTCCAGGCAGGGACCAGGGCCCTGTTCTGAGTCCCTCCCAGAACCCACCTCCTGCTGGCTCCCCCACCCCTACCTCGAGGATCCAGCTCCAGAATGTTCCCGCGCTGACAACAGAAAGGCAGGCCCCAGGGAGCACGGGGTGGGTGGACAGAGCCAGACCCTCTGGGCAAAAAGCAGGGGAAGTTCCAGTCCCTGGATCGTGCACTCCGGGCCCTGCCAGGGGCGCCCAGGCGGCAGGGGGAGCGGGGCCTCGTCTGCCCGCAGTTCTTTCTCAGCTTATCCTGCCC